CATTTTCAATCAATTGAAAATCATTTGAAGCAATTCTCTTTGTGTTCATTACTTGTTCTTCATTGTGTTCTTACTGTTTTCTACCTGTTTGATTGATATTGTTTCCGCTGCTCTACTACTGTCAAATCGATCATTCAAGTAAGTTTTTAGTACCAAGAATTGAGTTATTCGATCCAACAAAGGCCAAGGACTCACATACCGCTAGGCCAAAGGCCTTTTGGTAACTTATGATAATTTACGTAATGTGCAAGATCAAGGAGAGTCGGATGCTTCAAACATTGGACAACGTGTTATATTACCTTCTTCTTTTACCGGTGGTGCTCGCTACATGATGCAAAATTGTTTGAATGCAATGTCCCTTTGTAAGTGGTATGGATGTCCACACTTATTCTTAAGATCAATCTTGATGCACTTATTAAAGATCAAGTTTGATGCACTTATTAAAGAGTTGAAAGACAGTGCATTATTCGGTAAGGTTCAGGCAGGTATGTTGCTTTTATGATAACAGTTTTAACAAAAGTTTCATACTAAGAGTTTATCTTTATTAATTTAAATTTTCACTTTTTTCTAGTTGTTTATACAGTTGAATTTCAGAAGCGTGGCTTGCCTCATAGTCATATATGTCTATTTATGCACTCTGATTTCAAGCTACCTACTATTGAACAAATTCATCCTATTATCTCAGCCGAGATCCCAGACAAAAACAAAGATCCAGATTTGTACTCACTTGTAAAAGAGTTCATGATCCATGGTCCTTGTGGTGAAGAGCACATTAACTGTCCTTGCATGATTGATAGAAAGTTTAAAAAAAACTATCCGAAAAGATTTTCTAAACACACTTCCATCGATGTTAATGGTTATTCTTTATATCACAGACGAAATGATGGATGTTTTGTTGAAAAGTTAGGTGTTAAACTAGATAGCGGAAATGCCGTTGCACATAACAAACATCTCTTGAAAATATATCAAGCACACATTAATGTTGAGTGCTGCAATCATGCTTCTTCTATCAAATATTTGTTCAAATATATCAACAAAGGTCCGGATAGAGCTATTGTTGTTGTTGTAGAAAGCAGTAATGATGAGGTTACTAATAATTTTGTTGATGATATAAAGGAATATTATGACTGTAGATATGTATTTGCATGTGAAGCTTCATGGCGTATTTTTGGGTATAATGTTCATTACAAGACTTCTTCTATTTTAAGACTTCCTTTTCATCTTCCTGGACAACGACAAGTCGTTTTTGGTCCTGAAGACGATATTGAAAATGTCATAAACAGACCATCTGTGGCGACTTCAATGTTCTTAGCTTGGATGAAGTGTAATGAAATTTATCAAGAAGCATGAAAACTCACTTATGTTGAATTCCCTACAGAGTTTGTGTGGAAACTGGAAGAGCGACGTTGGGATCGAAAGAAAAAAGGTTTCTCAATTGGAAGAATTCATTGAGTTTCTCCTACTCTAGGAGAAGAATATTATTTAAGAATTATTTTGAATAAAGTGAAAGGTCCTAAGTCGTTCAAAGTCATTTGAACAGTAAATGGAAATATATTTTCTACTTTTAGAGATGCATGTTATGCTCTTGGGATTTTAGATGACGACAAGGAATATGTTGATGCCATTGAATAAGCAAATTTAACCGTATCTGGTTTTTGTCTACGCCTGTTATTTGCAACCATGCTAATTTTAAATAGTTTGTGTAGACCAGAGTTTGTTTGGCAAAAAAACATGGCAATACTAGGCAGATGGCATTCTTTACAATCAACGAATTGCACTAAAGTCTCCAGGTATGTTAATTATCTATTATAAGTATAGATTTATACAGTCGTTATTTCAAATACAAAATAATTTATTGTTTTTGTATTTCTTAAATATTATGTTCTTTCTTAAATTGTTTTTTGGTTTTAATTTTTATGTAATGATTGTTTACATTTACATTATACTTTTTACAGATTTATCTCTCAATGAAGAATAGATCAAGAACCTAACTTTGTTTGAAATTGAAAAGATTTTACTTCGTTAAAATTTCAGCCTAGAAAAATTCACCACTATGCCTTACCCTGATAATGATTCTCTTAAATTTTCAAACAATCGTTTGATTATGGAGGAGCTAGATTATAACATAGCTAATCTACATGATGAGTTTCATCAACTTATAATTGCTCTAACAAATGAGCAAAGAGGTGTTTATGACAATATTATGTTGAAAATAACTGAGGATGTGTGTTTTTTGTTTATGGACATGGTGGAACAGGTAAAACATTTCTATGGAAGACATTAGCTGCATCAATTAGATCTAAAGGAGAAATTGTTTAAAATGTTGCTTCCAGTGGTATTGCTTCTTTACTTCTTAGCAGAGGCAGGACAACACACTCTCGCTTTCAATTCCCTCTAATTATGAATGAAGATTCTTTCTGTCACATAAAGCCAGACAACGATGTTGCGAAGTTAATAAAAAAGACTACATCGATTACATGGGATGAGGCACTAATGGTTCATAGGAATGCATTTGAAGCATTGGATAGAAGTATGAATGATATTTTTAATAGTCGAGGCATAAGTGACTCACAAATGCTTTTTGGTGGCAAGGTAGTTGGTTTTGGAGGAGATTTCAGACAAATTCTGCCGGTTATTCCCAACGCATGTAGACAAGACATTGTTAATGCGTCTTTAAGTTCATCTTCCATTTGGGAAAGATGCAAAGTCTTGATGTTAACTAAGAACATGAGGTTAACTATTGATAGTGAAACTTCTGAAATTGAACAGACAAGGGTTTTTTACTTTGGAAAAGGCAAGGTTGGTGGTGTGAATGATGGTGAGGCAGTTGTTGATATACCTCATGATCTTCTCATTACCGATTCAATGGATCCTATATTCGTATTAATTGAATATGTATATCCTTCAATTCTTGTAAATATCAAGAATTCATCTTATTTTCAAGAAAGAGCAATTCTTGCACCAAAACATGAAGTCATTCAAGAAATAAATGACCGTTTGCTAGCATTGTTCCCAGGAGACAAAAAGGAGCACCTAAGTTCAGATAGTCTATCTGAATCAGAGCAACTTCACAACCAGTTTGATAAAACTTTGCAATCACCTGATGTCTTAAATGGTCTTAAATTATCAAGTTTGCCAAACCATTAGATAGTACTAAAAGTCGGTGTTCCAATTATGTTACTAAGGAATATTGATCAAAAATCTAGATTATGTAATAGAACTAGACTACGGGTGTTATCTTTGGGAAATCGGGTTATAGAAGCAGAGATCATATCTAGAAGCAATATTGGAAGCCGGATATTTATTCCAAGAATGTTTTTGACACCTACAGACAAAAGGATTCCATTCAAATTTCAAAGGAGACAATTTCCAATTGTTGTATGTTTTGCCATGACCATAAATAAAAGCCAAGGACAGTCATTATCGAAGGTTGGTTTATTTCTAAGACAACCAGTCTTTACCCATGGTCAGCTATATGTTGCTTTATCTAGAGTTAAAAACAGACAATGTTTAAAAGTATTAATTATAGATGATGATGGTATAATTAGCAACAAAACAAAGAATGTTGTATATAAAGAAGTATTTACTAATTTATGATATGTGGTTCTTATTTTATAAATATTTTAAGTACTTACCTTTCCATAATTTCATTTACGTTCTGTTATAAATTTTGTTTTACAAGTTCTTAATATTTACTCATATTATTATTAATTCTTTATAAAATGCATGTCGCTTTCATTTAATTTTGTAAAATACCCCATGTAATACACGGGTTCGAACCTAGTTATAACATATATAATAATCAATTTTAAATTATTTTTATCAATATATTTGTATTTTTTTTAAAAAAAATTACCATCTTGTTTGTATTAGTTGATATATTATATTATTATAGATTTATTTCCATTATATTTTAAATACCCCTTTGAATCATTTTACATTTTATAAGTTAGTTTTTACAAACATGATTTATTTATCGTCTAGTTTATCAACTACCAAGTAGTTTATTAGCTACTGCCTAGCTTATTTAAAACAACTTACATTTTTTTGTAAAAGTTCTTATCAATTTATATGGTGTCAAACCAAAGTTTTATAAAAAAAATGTTTGGATTAGCTTATGACGGTACTTGAATGTAATAAGCTGATAAGTTATTTTTTAATGTATGACAAGTTTTGCTTATACATGTAAAATGAACAAAGAAGACATTTTTCCATATTATTGACTTATTTGTTTCTTGAACATATAACAATTTATTTTTCATCATTTATAATAATATCTTTGACAAAAATTTATATCAATTATATTAATAACTTATAACAAAAAAAATACTAACTTAAAAATTAACAAAAATTTATACCAATAACATTAATAATTTATTACAAAAGTAATAGATAGTTAGAACAAAAAATATTAGACCGTTAATGTAATATTTGTATAACCAAAATATCAATAACAAAAATAGATCGTCATTTATAATATTTAGCATAATCGTTGTTTGACCTTGGTCGAAAAACATCGGAATACCCCAACACAATAGTAGTTACAGGTGCTTGTAGAAATTGAATTACAGGAAACGACGAAGAAGGCGTCGTTCTTCCCGAAGAACCACTACTACTCGTAATCCTTGTTGACAGAGATAAAGGGTTTGACGGAGCTAAATTATCAGAATTCGTCATATCAGCACTCAAACCTGTTGTTTCTATTAATTGACACTAAACGATATCGTATTTCCATAACTTTAATCAAGAAATATCTCTAAAACACTTCAAAGATCAGGAAATTCAGACACAAAAAGAAAAAGAGTATGAGGATAAAAACAACAAAGAAAATTAAAGTCATAGAAGAGGGATGTAAGAAAGATCAATCAATGATATCGACGTTTGTGTGTAAGAATGTATATATGTAGGCATGAGTTATCTCAGAAGGAAACAAAATGTTGGAAGATGAAATTAGTGATGAGTTATAGGGTTTGTGAAGTTGAAGAATTCAATTTAAATTAAGGATAAGAATATGAAGAAATGTGCCAAGTGGGATAAATAAGTTAAAAGTAATTTGGTTATAAAAGCTGAAAAGTTAGAAATAATTATTACCGGGCCGTGAATGCGTTTTTTTATCCAAACAATAAAAACTGGTTATTTTGAGTTTGGACTCTAAAGGTCAAAAGTGTTTGGAGGTTCCAAGTTTAATTCCAAGGAGGAATAAAAATCCCCTTATGGTCATAGAGATTCAAATGTGATGACTCTGTGCTACCCGTATAGTAGATGGTCCTACTGATATTAGTCGCCTAGCATAACAGACGAATATCAAAGTTAATAAAAAAACAAAAAACAAGTGATTATTATGGGTAACACACCCTTGATAAATTAACTAGTTTGATTGCGCAGGAGCCGTGAATTTTAACGCTTTTGAAGTTTCACTGGTTTTATTAGAGAAGATTTAACGATGATATAAGTTGCATTTGGTCTTTACATATTAATACAATTTGAATAAATAAGAGTTATGGTTCCAATTATAGTCTATCGATGAAAAAGAATTGTATGACAGTTTAAAATCCAATATATTTAAAATCCAACATACTTAAACGACTCCACAAATGTGTTCGATTTACACCAAGAGCAAAGAATCAAGAGATCGAGAGTGAGACCGAGAGTTCTAGAGCAATTGAATGGGAGAACTTTTAATAACTCATGGTGAATATCAGTTTGAATCTCACCTTGGGGGATGAGAAGAAGACATAAAGGTATGAGAGGGTGAAGGCATGAGTGAAAGATGTCAAAAGTATCTTGGGAACATGAAAAAAAGGTAATAATGTGCATTGGTAACTTGCACTATATGTTTTTTTAATTGTAGATTAAGAGATTTTAAGACTGAGGGGTTGTTTGTTTTTAATAAAAAAAGCTTTTAATACCCTCTTAAGTCTGAATCGGTCAGACCTAAGGGGATTCAGAGTGTTTGTTTTTTTTCAATTAAGAGCTTAAAAGCTCTTATTAGGTCTGAATCAACTCTTCTGGATCAACTCTTTGTGCTCGACTTCTCTGGATCAACTCTTTTGGATCAACTCTTGATCTCACATCTCTCAACTTTGTCAACTGTCGATCCAGATCAACTCTCGATCTCTCATCTCTCAAGCTCTTGATCTGTTTCCCAAGCTCTCGATTTAGCGTATCCATCTTGGTTTCAATTCTTCTTTGATTTCTGTGTCTTCTTTGATTTCTCGATTTAAAGTATTCTGTTAAATGAGTTTGATTTTATTGAAGAATAAAACAGGTATCGTGTTAAATGGGTTTGATTTCTGCATCTTCTTTGTTTTGTGGGACCGTATTAGGATTTAAGTAATGTGTATAGTTGTTCTTGAATGGGTTTGATTTATGTGTCTTCAATCCTATTACTACTAGTTATTTATGGGTTTGATTTCTACACCAATCATCGCGTCTGTGTTTGTCATGTGATTTTGCTGAACTTACAAGAGAGGTAGAAGGAATGCAATTATGTTATACATGTAGGGAAATCATGGTTAAGATGGAATGCAGTGATGTTATACATGTTGGGAAATCATATAGAGTTCACTTGTTTATAATTCCTATTGATTTTTAGTTTTGGCCTACCCTCAACTAGTTTCAGTTTACGCTGAAATCGAACTTAGCCAGACAACTACATGGATTAGTAGTAGTAGTGGTAGTGGTAGTGGTAGTGGTAGTGGTAGTAGTAGAAAAGCATTATGCAGAACATAATAAGCATTAGCGGTTGATTATAATCCAACCAATTATACTTGTTATACTGCTGCAAAGTATTCCTTCTTGAGTTTAGGATCTGCCTTCGTTGACTTCTCCCCTGGCTTCCATCCTACTGGGTATACTTCATCTGGGTTCTCTTGTACAAATTGCAATGCCTATATATATATATATATATATATATAGAGAGAGAGAGAGAGAGAGAGAGAGAGAGGAGTGATCATATGAAAACCGTCTTCATTTGTGTAAACCGTGCAAACCACCTTCATCTATCGATTTCATTGTTTAATCTTATGAAATTTTTTCATGAAATTGTTTAATCTTGTGAAATTATTTCATATAATACTTTTTTTGATAAAGTTGTTTCATATATGGTTGTGAAATTGTTTCATATAATACTTAATGAAACTGTTTCATGTATTTCTCTAACATTAATGAAACTGTTTCATGTATTTCTCTAAAATTAAAATAATGAAGATGATAATATCTATGATTAACACTCTCCACAATAAAAATGATTAATCAACCTCTCATAATTACAAAAAAATGAACAAAATAAAAAATTATGATTGGTTGAATACGGTTTACACGGTTTGTACAAATTGAGTGGTTTGCATTTGATCGCTCCTCTATATATATATATATATATATATATATATATAACACCACCATTCAACCAACCACTTCATAAATGTTTTCCTTTCGAATCATAAAACCTAAATTGATATTGTGATTTCAAACCCAACAGCATAAGCTACTTTAACCCAACAACAGCAGCTACTATATCTAAAAAAGACCTCCATTTTGATATATATTGTGATTTCAAACCCAACAACAGTAACTACTGTATGCCAATGTAATGCTATTGTATCTTATATTTGTGTTTGGAATGTCCAGCAACTTAAAGTGTACATGCTGCCAATGTAATGCTACTACACATTGAAAGGAAACTATCAAAGGTTTTATTGGTAGCAACTAAGTTGGGAAATATAACTTTAACCTCAAATTTCTTAATTACTTGCTATTACCTTTTCTTAATTAGTTGCTATTACCTTTTTTTAATTAGTTGTTATTACCACAAGAACCAAATCCTCTACTTAAATGCCTTTAAGATTTGAAGCTCGCATTTACATGAACCAATCTTTATTAGAGTATGATTATTTTGCAATATATGATTTTTTTCCTGTATGTTAATGTTGGTCCCGGTTGGGTCAACAAGAGTTTTTATAGAAACGGTTTGTAGAAGGGAGAGGATGAATACAAAGACAGAGTTCAAATTTAAAAATAAATATTGTTAAAGAAAGATCAATACAGATTTTGCAAGATTGTATGCGGAAATAGACAATGTAAAGATAACCTATATAAAACAATCTAAGTTTACACACATATATTCTTAGTAAAGAGAAAAGATTTGT